ACTGAACAATTTGGAATGATGTGCTAAGTGAAGCATGGATTTAAATAGCTTCATTCGGTAACAACTTAAATTAAAATATATATTGTTATACATTTTTGGAAAGCTCATAAAATAGGTAAAAAGTTTTGTTTCAAACACATTGACGTAGGACCTACTGCAAAAACCAGGGTTTGACCTAATCTACAATTTTATGTAAAAAAAATAATATTTTTTGTTATATCCCAGATATAAACCCACCCAATAGATATAATGCTACATGTAAGGTTATTTTATTAAAGTAAATTTTACGAGGAGTTCAAAGAAAAAATAATTATGCTGATAGCTCGTTTACATTAAAAGATATAGGTGATTTAGTAAAACACTACACTTTCAACCTGGTGTTTTGGGGGAGGGGGGGTTTTAAGGGGAAGCAAGGGGGGGAAATTCGGGGAACTTTCAGAAAACACCCTTCCTATCATACACTATCACCATGCAAAAAATCAGCTTTACATCTTTCATGTCTTTGTTGGCCTTGATTTTTAACTTAAGTTACTGGGCTATATGTGCTAAATGTAAATTCAAATAGAAAATTCGATTCTATCAAAATCCATCAATATAACTTTAATATTATTTTAATTTTAGTGAGTTTGTTTGTGCTGAAATGCGTGTTATTACTATATTTTTAGTTTTAGGTAAATCTATCGACAAAAAGAGAGTATTGGAATTATTGCATGGGCCCTTTGAAAATAGAGAGTTTATTGAACTTGGTCAATTTGGAGTTCGTCGATAGCTTAAATCAATTTATGAGGCAATTTATGTTATTACGTGGCACAGAGTATACCCCCAAATCAGTATACAATACAAATTTACAGTACTCATAAAAAGAAATTGGATATCTATAAATATTTTGAAGGCATCAATGAACTACGTATATTACTGGCAATATTATTGTGCAATGTTATTAGACTCTGTTGAAATTGTTGTCCTTTGACGCTAGGCTCTAACGCGGGATCGTTTTTCACATTGGGTACTTCAATGTGTACCTACGGATTGCAGTATCATCACTTAGATAAAATCTATTGGTAATTTAGTGGCATGGACCCGGGACCTCAGGGACCGATGTCCCGCACTCTACCATTAGACCAGCTAGTTCCCGCTTAAAAGTTGGCTATAGATTATACGAAGGAAACGATTTATTAACACATTAAAAATTCAAATAGGCATTATTTAATTTAAGGAATACTTTGTGAAGTACCAAAGTAATGCTATGGTTATATTGACTGTACTATCACATTAAAAGCATACGTCGTTGTAATGCACGGGTTTCTCGTCCCTATTCCAAAGTTCAATAGTTCCGTTTGTCCAGTTGAGTGAAGCTGGTGAAGCCTTGAACAGCTGATCCAGGGACCAGCAAGCTATATCGAATGCTGAATGTCGACTTGCGACATATTTATATCTGGATAAGTAGCCAATGCCCTTTCCACACTGGCCAGAAACTGTTTCGAAATTGCGTCAAATCGGTTGACATGTGACTTGCCACGGCTGTCGCTCAGAAATGTTAAGTTCAACTACTAAACTGGATTTCTCCTCAAAATGTCTGTAGGATATTTCGGAGGTACTAAATTGTACCTAAATTGATTTCAATTGACCATTGGGCCTTCTGATGCTTCAGCTCAAGTGAAGTAATTGCGTTTGGAAAAGGAATGCCCACTTAGGTAGCAATAATAACAACATGTACACAAAACAATAAATTTCTTCTATACTTACCATGTTTTCATTTTATTATCTTATGTAAAATATCCATACACACAAAAAATGTTTTGTGTATTTTAGGTTTTAGAGCCACTGATTTGTTGGTTTTTAGGGAGTGTTGCAGTTGCAAGATAGAGTCTCATGGAATAAAAATATAAAACAGATAAGATAAACATAAGATCTTAATTACTTTTAATTTTTATGAGAGTATGTGGCTCAATCGGTAGCGTCGCAGACATTCGTAGGTTCAGATCCTGGCCATCACTCCTATACTATACCAAGTCACTCCTTGCTTTGTTGGATACGTTCCACACACCCATAGCCTATGTGGACCACAGAGAACATACTACTAGTATGTTTTCTGTGATGTGGACGGACAAATGCAAGGTTAAAAGAGGCCGCCAACCTCTTTTAATAAAGAAAATCTACGCTGAACGTAGCACTTAAAAGCAAAGACTTGCAAACCTTGATTTTTGTTCAAAGCATGTGTAATACTGAACGAATAAAATAATATTACGTTTAAAAATATTCTATCGGATTTATTGAACCTAGGTGAATTTATTGTATTTTTTGTTTTGCTTCGCTGTTTTCCATTAGGCAACAGAGTGTCCCATATCCATAACCTTTATTAGATTTAACTCGTATATTCTTTACGAGCTGGGACTTTTAATACCAATGTAACAGAAAACAATATGACATCAGAAATCCATAAAAAATAATTTATAAACGTTAAATAAATTAAATGTACATTACTCCGACTCATAGATAAAACTTTAAAATGTAATTAACTACATTGATTGTATTGGTAAAAACAAGTAGAGGTGTTCAATATAATTATTTACTTTTAAAAATTGAATTAGAGATCAAAACTATTTTGAGTTTTAATAAATGCTTAATGGAAAGTTTAAATATCTAGTGGAAGATTTAATCATGCCCAGATTACAATATACCGTACTAAGAAATATTTTATGATCTATATAGCTTTTTTAGAAAAAAAAATTAAAATATTTAGCCGAAAAAATACAAAATGAGAACAAATTAATTCGACTAAAACACCACGTTGGATGATTTGGCCCAGATGACGTTTGGGAAAACGATGCAAAGTTTATGTACATTTCTAAAAATCTACGTTTGGCCCAATTTTCTGAGATATTAAAATTATAATAATCTTAAAATTTTCCTCGTAAAGCAAAAATAAACGTTTCCCTGCACCTTACGATTGAGGAATTGATCGATGTGAGGTTTACCCTTGTACATTGTCGTCATGCTGTCCAGATATAATCAATATGTTTCCCATACCGTGGTGACTGGACGCTGGCATGGAAGGGAGAGGTATATAATATAGTCACCGGGAAACTGTAGTGAGTGTGTGATAACATGGGGACCGTTTACCGTCCGACACTGGTGAGTCTTACGTTTTATCAATTTTAGTTTAGAATTTCAGATTGTTTTTGTTTATAATATACGTATAATATGCAATTGTAGATGCAGAAATGTGGATAGCTGATTTTTTATCAATTTTTAATAGTTTTATGATCAGGTTGAATTTGAATTTGAGCGAGGTTTCAAACCGTAATTCGAAAGAGGTTGGAACCTTTTTGAACACGTTCTTGCAAACATACGTCGCGTCGCAACTACAACTTAAAGGTGCGTTAAGTTCTGAGAATTAAACTTTCTATTGATATTGAATTTACTTAAACTGGCTTATATCATAGATTTAAAATACTCCCTTATAAACACAACCCCTTATTAAACATATTAATTTAGTCAATTTCGTATCCTTAAGAATCATAAGCTGAAAACAATTTTATTTTGAGTTCCATCCAGGACCACCAGGACCGTGTAAAAAAATCTCTTTTTTTACAGTTATAAAAACCCTAGTTTGACCGAATAGAACGATCTAATCCTAAAAATAAATTTAAATTTTACAATGGGATTAACAGTCTACTTGTATTGGATTGGCCAGTCCGCGCCTTTCCTACTATTCTTTTTCCCATACAGTCAACTGAATTTTTCGATGGGGTTTGGCGAATTTAAAACTGGGATATGTTAGCTAATGGTTATAAATAAATTAACCACTAAGTCAATGATTTACCTTTGGTGTCTTACTAATAGAAGATTAATCAACTTCCATAATGTGGGTAAAACTGGTCTTCAGTGATATTGCTTTGGATAGTCTCTTAAAAAGCATATTTTTTTCTTGATACCGTTTGATAAAATAGCTCAGTTTTCCAAGATAAAACGTAAGAATTAAATTTAGAAGATTCAATGCTTCTTGGTGTGGGAATTGTTATGTTTATTAATGTTTTACTGTTCATGATTTTTACGGCATTTTAATGAGTAAATACCTAATGTAACGCCTTTTAACCGTTGTAAATCGTACAGAATTGTTGTAAAAATAAAACAAATTACTTAACATCACTGGTTTTTATGTAAGTACATAATACAATTTTGACGTTTGGTAATATTGTTGTATGAAAGCAAAGTATAGTGTAGAGACGCTGAATGCTAGTAGATGCTAGCAATCAGCCTAGGCCCTATTTATGTACTAGCATAGGGCCGATCACTTTTTGAAATCCTCAAAGAAACAAAAAGATTTAACGAAAACTTGCGGTCTGTATGAAACACCACATTTAGTTACGCTCATTAATCTTCTACCTCTCTTTTAAACCATACTCACAATTAAATTACTTACTGAAGTGATATAACTCTTGGCATTTAGGTTTACTAACTGTGATAGCATAAATACACACAAGTATGGACTACGATGAAATTTATTTTCAAGATGATGAGCTACCATTATCATTGCCTTTGAAATAAAATAACATTTTATTTTTTATGAGATGTTTTTTACGAGATCGTTTAGGTTATCTATTACATTTTGCAATATCTCAATTTAGAAATAAGTTGACCTTGTATTTTTTTTAAAGCTGCAAACTATGTTACTTGCAAACTGGTAACAAGAGTATGAATCCCTAGCAAATGGAAATTAGAAAGTTATGTTCGTCCATTTAGAATTAGCAGAGGTTTACTGCAAAAAGATTCGTGGATAAATATGAATGGATAACCAGTTCCATTATCATTCACGAGGTGGATTATACTAATGCAGAATTTCTTTTCAGATATTGGCAATCCTGGGGTTCCTCGCTGTTACAGCATGGGCAACCGAAGCGGAGCCGAGCATAGAGAAACGAGCTTTTGTCCATTACGAGAAACACTACACTGATGACGATGACGGTCATGGAGGTCATGGGGGAGGTGGAGGAGAGGGTCATGGAGGTGGGCATGGCGGGGGTCACGGAGGAAATGAAGGTGGTCATGGAGGTGGCCATGGAGGTGGGCATGGAGGTGGTGGTCATGGAGGTGGTGGTCATGGAGCCGGTGGTCATGGAGGTGGGCACGGAGGTGGTCATGGAGGTGGTCATGGAAAAGCTACGTCCTATCAGAGTTTCATCCTTCATGCACACCATCCTGTCAAAGTGTACTACGTAAAGTCAGGAGGGCACGGCGGTGGTCATGGAGGTGGTGGCCATGGAGCCGGTGGTCATGGAGGCGGTGGTCATGGAGGCGGTGGCCATGGAGCCAGTGGTCATGGAGGCGGTGTTCATGGAGGCAGTGGACATGGAAGCCACGGAGTACATGGAGGGGCTAGTCACGGTAGCTACGGTACCCATGGAGGCAGTAGCCATGTGACCCATGGCGCCGCTGGAGGTGGTAGCAAAGGCTATGGTGGTATCGGAGGCCATGGAAGCCATGGGGGTGGAGCCCTGAAGAGCTACGGAGATCATGGACTAGGCCTTGGAAGCTACGCTAACCACTTCCACAGTGACAGCAGCGACCACGGTCTTCAGTTCGACGTCGGTGGTTACGAAGGAAGTCTTGGAAGTATTGAAGGTCATGGTGGAAACAGCTTCGAGGGCTTACACGACGAGTACTAGTCATCCTTGTTATATTTTCAGTTTGCAATGTTAAATGATTTTACGCCAAAGATATTGTTACAACGAATAAATCATTGATTGTTATTCTTGATCCCTGATTTCCTTATCGTTTTATACGTATACATATGTAATAATTGTACTAATAGTATATTTACATTTGATCATTGGTTCATGATTGAAAGTTTTCTTATACGTAAAGTGTGATTATGTTTACTTAGCTATAATGAAGGCACACACATAATTTATTTCCTGGACATGTCTTTCAACAATTATTGATCAAACCTAATCGTGTTTCCAGAGTACATGATGGTAAATATTTAACGCTTATTGGTAAGAAATGTTTTAAAAGTATGTAATAGGTAAACATAGTTAATTGAAGTTTTTTAACAGAAGAAAATTGACCATTTGTAATTTTCGTTCATCAAATGAAATTGAGTGGTGTCTAAAATTTATATTGTTATATGTTTTTTGGAAATAGAATATGTTGGATGTAAATTAAAAATGAAAAGACAGATATGTGGAAAGAGAAGTTCTAGAACAATTAATTCCCCAAATCGTTAAGTAGAAAGAACCACGATTTATTTTCAAGCAAAACTTTGGCATATTTGAAATATAGTTGAAAGTCACCCTGGGTTTCGCCAACTAGTAAGTTGTTTTAACGTATCAAATATAAATACTAATAATTGTTATTGATCTTTTAAAGATAGTTATCCATATCTATAAGTAATATTTAAATATATAGGTAATCTTTAAAGATAGTCTAGTTAAAAAGTTGATAAACTGAAACTATGACAATGTGAAATTCCTGAGACTTCAGATACTTAAATAAATTGTAAAAAAGTGGTCACCAGTCATCAAAGCTAGAAAGAAATTCCATTAAATTATGTGGAAATGAAATGAAATGAAATAATATTTTATTTCCCATTCATTATAAATACATCAGTACATTGTATTGTTTTACTTACTTATCACTTATTATACTTAATACAGCAAACATAAATATATATAAATAACAAAAATTATATACTGTAGAAATAAAGTGATAAAAGAAAGAAAAATACCTTCTACAATAACAAAAGAAAAAGTCTACATAGACAGAGCCTGTGCGTAGACTCGAGTTGCGAAAAGAAGGAACAAAAATATTTCGCGTAATTTTTAAATTTAAAATTTTGTCTTGCTCGGGACTGAATTTTCAGTGTTCTGGAATTAAATAATGAACAAAATATTTTCAGTGGAACAATAAAAAAATTTATTTTATTTTATTTTTATTTTTTAACATAAACAACAAACACTATTTTACAATTGGGCCTTAACAAGATAATCAATATAAAGATTAGAAGATAGCAAAGAACACAATTCATTTAATTGAATGAAATATGTCATAAAAAAAAACATACAAAAACAACAACAATTGATAAAGATTTTATAAATTAATAACAAGGATTAAAAGTATTTAAAAAAGAAATCGATACAGTGATAAATACACTAGACAAAAAGAAATTAAAATCATGTCAGGGTTCAAGACAAATTCTTGACCGCTGTTCAGGATATACTCCACAACCGTATTGATAATAGTATTATTAAAATATATCTTCAACAAATGTAAAATGTTATTTTAGTTTTCAATATTTTATACAAATAACAAGTACAGTATAAACAGACATAACATAAGCGACGTTTCATGTTCAGGAGACTAATATACTGCTCCTCGGCTCATGTGATACCATTTGCTCGCCACTTCTGTTACGAAAAACATATATTTGACGAAGGCGCCACAATACTAAACCATTTCTCTTTGATAAGAAAATAATCTTTTAAGCTAATACTATAGTTTTCTAATACTAATACTAATTATGATTGATCTACATTGTTATTTATTTAATTCATTGTTTTTGTTATGTTCTCATTTAACATAGTTTCCATTTGATTTTAAGTAACTGAATGGTCATTTATTGAAAACACATCTTACTAATTAATAACAGTTCTACCATTTCAGTGCCACTGTAGTAAGTTGGTTTCAATATTAGCCTTGTACAAAACGAATGTGGTCAAACCTTTCTTAAATGTTTTGTTATTACTTTTATGATTAGGTCAATTTTTAAAATCGTTCTTGGAGGCAATAGGGTAATTGAACATAATTTTCAATGTATTTCGCCACCCTGCAAATATTTTTGAATATATTGGCATTAAAAGAGACTCAATACTTAGCAATTATGTGCGTTCTTGATTATTTCAAACCCCCCCCCCCCACACACACAATAAAAATCTATTCCGGCGGTTCATTAATAGTCACAATATACATTATATTGTAGTTTTGTTGTAAAAGGGACAACATTGTTTAAAATTGTGTATAGCTTGCTATCTTATTTGCCATTTCTTTTATAATCGTATGGCTACCTTGGTTCTCTTTTGATTTATTTATATATTTTTATATACTGTATTTTAAGTTACGCATAATACTAATTTGTTAATGATTTAAATGGAATTCAGGAGGTGGTTTAGTGATAGAAAAATAATAATACTAGCTTAATAAAAATTAAATTAAATACAATTATAAAATTAAATAAAAATAAAATTGTAGCTAAATTGGTACGACAAAAGCTTCTGTATCTGTGACAATTTTGATATTTGGAAGTATTATAAAAGGTTAAGGTTAAGCTGAATAAAACTAGTTATACCCATTATTATAAGAGCGATGTATCAGGAACTAGCCTACATTAATAATGTATTGATATTTGATGGAAAAGAAACTTAATATGTCTGGAGTCAGTTATGTAACTTATCCTTTAACGGGTAAATGGTACTTTACAACCCAAAACTTAATATAATGGATTGAACAAATTATCTAATATATTTTTCATAATCATGGATCAGCTAAAGACAATCTTGGTTTAGGCCTGTCCAGTTTGTAAGTAGGGCGTTGTATACTAAAATTCATTAAATGGGTATTTTGAAATTTAAACAATTTTAAGACTATTTAAATTTAGCATTGACTTATTTGTCAACAATTTATTATCTTTTAGTTTCAAAACTAAAGAGTAGAGCACCAATCGTAAAACTTGCATTGAAATAGAATGAAAACGTTGAGTTAATATTAGCCAATAGTATATGGGGAACGCCATTTTGATTCTAGTCATTCGGCTATTGGGTCTTACCGTCTTGTGAGTAAACAGTATACGTGTAAATATATTATTATAAAGTTATTTGAGGCATTTTTTGTGCTTTCAGTTAATATTAGCGCACTTAAGTCACCAATGAAACACAAAAACAGACTTCACATTCATCCCTACATTATTCCAAGTTAATGGTAATGCCAATCCATTTTTAAACCATAAAGAACATAATTTACCAATCTCAAAATGTATCATCTTAGAGTAAACGTACATCTCAGGTCACTGACTGTCTTCTGAAGACCTTGGGGTTCTTAGAGGTCATAGAACCATTGACCTAGAGGTCGCAGCGGCTTTACGCTGTACAAGAGCGACAATAGACATTATCAATTTCTCTTACACAACAATGACCTTGCATCAGCTGGGCTTTCACAGGCCTTGGTGGTATACTGGTCCTGTAGGGAAACTGCACTGGTATACCATACGAGGACTGATATTTATTTATTACAAACGGTGATACACCAATACAAAAGTATTACAAATATGATAGCGTTGAAAACAATGTCCAGTTTCACAGTTTGATTTATACACAGAAAGATTTGAAAACAACTACATCCAACAAACAATCAAATTTTCTAATTAGTTCAAAAAAGGCAAGGTCGTAACATTTCATTTTTAAGAATCAATAACAAATGAAGAATAAAGACTTCGAAAAAAGAATAACAATAACTTATAACTTTTGCAAAAAAGATAACAATAATAGACTTCAACAAATAACAATAACAAGACGACAACAAAACCTATAATGACATAATTCGATAAGATCAGCAACAATTACTTTCAACAAGAATATAACTATACAAATGATGACAATAACAACGATATGATAACAGTACGAAACAATATAATAACAATAACAATGACCATGAATTAACGACAGATTAAATTTACCGTTTTCTTCTTAAATGATTCGTTGGTGCAACCAAAAAAGTCCAAGTCAGCGCAAACCTCATTCCCAACTCTCATAATCCTTGGTATTGAGCTCTGGTAGGTATAGTTCGTTGGTATGAAGTGCTTGAAGAACAGCTGTTGTTGGCGAGCATGATGGAGAACGTTGAAGTCCAATTGATGGAGGATCTCAGGACAGTCGATCTGATTGTTTACTATCTTGAAAAGGAACAGCAGGTCAAGTAGCATTCTTCGGGCAGATAATGATGGAAGGTTTAGACGGTGTGCCATTTCATTCAAGTCAACATCCCAATAACGTTGTCCCTGTTTAGCTCCAACTAACCGCAAGAATCTTTTCTGCACTGCCTCGAGCTGAGAACAGTGACCAATCTGATTAGGGGTCCAAACTACAGCAGCAAACTCCAAGACCGGCCTTACCAACGTGACGTAGAGTGTTCGTAATAATGAAATTGGAAAGTCCTGTCAACATGTCCCGTTGATAAGGCCCAATACACGGCTCGCACTGCTACAGACGTTCAAGATGTGGTCACTAGGGTTTAGATCTGGTGTCATGAGCACCCCAAGATCACTAACTCGATCAGCTTTCTTGATAATTAATCCAGACAGTAATTAAATTGAAGGGTCTGTCTAGCTCTAGAGAATGACATAACTAGACACTTGGCCGGGTTCAAGTCCATTCCATTACGAAGACACCATTCAATCACTCCATCCATGTCATTCTGCAGCTCAACTTGTTGTTCCACCGATCCAACTTCTCTATACAGCTTGACATCATCGGCAAACAGAAGAAAATGCCCTTCGATAAACTCAGATATATCATTTATAAAGAGACTAAACAAAAATGGTCCAAGATATTTAACCCGGAGAGTGCGATGTGTCAAGTAGCTCTTGAACCATTCCAATACCGATCCATTGATTCCAAAAGCCTTCAACTTGTTCAGCAGGTGGGGGTGGCTAATTATATCAAATGCCTTGA